GGCATGGCTAACTTACAGATTGAACCCTGAAACAACCTCTGGGCCGATCTAAGTCAGGGCATGGATAACTTACAGATCGAGCCCTGAAACAACCTCTGGGCTGATGTAAGTCAGGGCATGGCTAACTCACAGATAGAACCCTGAAACAACCTCTGGGCTGATCTAAGTCAGAGGACGGTTAACTGACTGATGGAAATAGGGTAATATACCTAATGGGTGATGTGGCCTAATGAGTCTACTCATATGCGATACTCGTGAATCCCAGGATAAGATTAAATAAAGACCTCATGGAGTTGAGAAGAGAGTGCATCACCATTACAACACCCTTGTTTCCCTTGAGTGCATGATAAGTTATTCATGTCATAAAAATCTATTTTGTTCTTATTTTAGCTGTTGAGTGCAGAGATTCAGGTAGACCTGTAAATGGTGGCAGATATCCCGACAGAAACAAATACGTGTTCAAAGACAAGATAGATTTTCAATGCAATACAAACTATACGCTGAGAGGAGATTCTTCCATTACCTGCCAACAAGATAAAAGATGGTCAGGAAATGTACCAAAATGTTTGGGTAAGACAAGAAACTTCAAGCTAATGATTTCAGTCTTAGTGGAAATAATTTTTATATAGCCAGACTTACAACTATGTAATTAAAATACCGTTATTACTTCACATTTATTTTGATAGCTATCATGTTATCTGCGAAAACGGCTTGTGGCATTTTCTGGTTGTAGAAAATGTGATGTAAAATTACTAATTATATTAGCAAATGCTGCAGCCATTTTCAGTCATGATCTGCAGTTGAACAAAAATTGCATCTTTAATAACAGCTACATAGTATCTGAAGACCAATGGTAGCTTCTTGCAGCGTATGGAGAAGTGACCAATGTGTATTCGTCCATCACTTAGATAAGATCGCGTCTTAGGTTGATTTGCTCAAACAAATACTATTGCACTTAATATAATCCTTAATTCCTTTCAATCTTTCTTTCTTCTTAGCTCCCTGCAAGGATCCTGGTATACCTAACAATGGCCAACGTCATGACCACTCGTTCTTACATAATGCTAGTGTAAGATTCTCTTGTCGAAGAGGATGGAACATCCAGGGTTCTCAAACTATCACATGTAATGATGGAAACTGGGATCGTACAACACCAGTGTGCATGGGTAAGATATTTATTAGAAGGATGTATTAAAAATATCATTATTAGCGATTAAGTTATTAATGTAACTGAATATTGCTTTGCGTTTTAATATTGTTTAACTTTTCATTATTTTTGATTAAATTTTTGAGATATTTAAATTGTCATTTGCCAATATGCATTCCCATTCTTTACTTTTTCCCTTTACCTTTTGTTTCCTTGGAG